CAAGGAGGATTTCAAGTAATATACTTGAAATATCCATTTAGCTGAATAGAGAAATTACATAAATTATATTAAGAAACTGGCATAACAACTGTACACATAAGTGGACATGTTAAATTGTTGCTCCCTTGTCCAACCATTCAAAAAAATTAAAAGATGATATTAAAAAAATAACTTTACTAATGCTTATGAAATAAAGTTAATGTTTATTAAATATCATTAGGCATTGTGAAATAATGTACTTTTTATTGTAATTTTTCTCTTGTATTGATGTGTGCTCATTGTAATTCATATCCATATTCATATGTAATTCCCATTCATAATTCATATTCACATCTACTTTTAAAGATGTCTGTGAATTATTCTGGATTTTCACTCTTGGGCTGGGTTCAAACATGAGATGGATTCACATTTTATGTTCTGTTATTTTTTTTTTTTTTTTGTCGGTCGTGGGGCTTGAACTCTGGGCCTGGGCGCTGTCCCTCAGCTCTTCAGCTCAAGGCGAGCGCTCTACCACTTGAGCTACAGCGCCACTTCCGGTTTTCTGGTGGTTTATTGGAGATAGGAGTCTCAAGGTCTTTCCTGCCCGGGCTGGCTTTGAACCGCGATCCTCAGATCTCAGCCTCCTGAGTGGCTAGGATTACAGGCGTGAGCCACCAGCGCCCGGTATGTTCTGTTATTTTAAGTCTTGATTCTGCATTTTAGAAAAATTATGTTATATTTATCTTTTTTAAAATCTTATTTTATTGTAAAGGTGATGTACATAGGGGTTACAGTTATGTAATTAAGCTAATGAGTACATTTCTAAGATGAGTTTATTTCACTTAACATGTTGTTCTCCAGTTCCATCCTCTTTCCTGGAAATAAGGTAATTTCAATTTTGCTATGACTAAATAACACTCCATTGTATACTTGTAGTAGACTGTCTTTATTTATTGATTGATAGGTACCTAGGCTGATTACATAGTTTAATTATTATTTGCTAACTAGGTAGTACACTGTTAATATCAAAAGTGATATTTGATAAACATTAAACATGAGAATGTTTGCATCTGAAAAATGATTTTTATATCACATATAATTATTTAAAGCCTTATAGGCCTTTGCAGAGTTCTTATCAATCTTATTATTTAAGTACGAAATTAGTTTTACATGTATACACACACTACATACACATATATATATATGAATGTATATACACTGTATATATATACATTAGCAGTTCCAGTGTCCTCATATATTGTGTTTATGTTCATCAGCAGTTTTTGTTATCTTTTTCGGATGGTGGTCCTAGAGCATCATATTCACTCGCCATTCTACCACTTGAAAATGCCTTTAGCCCTAATATTTTGCTGATTATTTTAGGAGATGCAGTCTAGTAACCTTATCTTTTATCAAACAATAATCCTCCAAATCTGAGCTTCCTGAATAGCTATGATTACATCGGTAAGCCAATGGCATGTTTATTTTCATTAGCATTTTTTGGTCAGTCGTGGGGTTTGAACTCTGGGTCTGGGCACTGTCCCTCAGCTCTTCAGCTCAAGGCTGGTGCTCTACAACTTGAGCCAAATAGCCACTTACAGTCTTCTGGTGGTTAACTGGAGATTAGAGTCTCATAGATTTTCCTGCCCAGGCAGGACTATGATCCTCAGATCTCAGCCTCCTGAATAGCTAGGATCACAGGCATAAGCCACCAGTATCTGGCTTCATTAGCATTTTTGTCAAATGAGAAATTGGTAACAACAGACATGCAGGAATGGACAAAATTACTCTTTTGCTAGTCAAGACTGACAATGCCACAGAGGAACAATGAAGATAATAACATCATGACCACCTCATTGTCCCTGACCTATCCACAAATGTTCATATTATTGCTTCATTACTATAGTTTTTTTTTTCCATTTGATATCTCACTCCAAAGAAGTTCCCATTTTTTCCATTTTTTATTTATTTAACTTTATTTTATTTATTTATTTTGACATTCCTGGGGCTTGGGCTCAGGGCCTAGGCAATGTCCCTGAGCTTCTTTTGCTCAAGGCTAGCATGCTACCAATTGAGCCACAGCACAACTTTGACTTTTTCTGTTTATATGGTACTGAGGGATCAAACGCAGGACTTCATGCATGCCCTATCTTAAACCACATTCTTTGCACGTTTCTATTTTTTATTTTGAGATTGCAAAATGAATTTTATTTCAGTGTTGGAGATTGGACCCCAGCCTTATGCATTCCAAGCAGGTGCTCCACTACTGAGAGAAATCTCCAATCTTTTAAGAATTAAAAAAAAATCATGATGACCTCTATAACTATGCATATTTCCCTGCATAATTTTAAGTAATGTTAATGGATGAGCTAGGAATTCTCATTGAGCTACTTTATATTTCAGGAATCTAATTAGGAATGCTTTACTTTCTTTTTCTTGGTGATTCATTCCATATAACACTTTCAGCCTAAGGTTACTCCAAAATAAAAATAGGAAGAGAAAAAAGAAGTTGTATTTCTACAAACTAATAAACTGGTAACTTAAAAAAAGAACCAAGCATTAACTTGGAAATGTTGTTTCCATTATATAAATTATTTCCAGGTTAATTAAGTAAATCCTTTGCTTCATTATACCATCAGTAAATTAAAGTGTGTTGGCTTTCATTGCTTGTGATTTACAGTAGGGAATCTTTCAATAAATATATCAACTTTGCCCACAACTTTTGTTATTGCTGGTTTTTTTTTTTACTACTTTTATATAGGATTTAGCTAATTTTTATTTAATTTTGACAGGTGATGTACAGAGGGGTTGCAATTACATAAATAAGGTAATAGGTACATTTCTTGTCAAACAATGTTATTCCCTCCCTCAATTTTTCCCAATCCCCGCCCCCTCACCTCTTCAAGTTGTAAAATTCATTTCCAATATAGTGTTGTGTGAGTATCATTGTTGCATTGGTTCACCCTTTGTCTTCTGTCTCTCCATTTTGTGACTCTCTTTCCCTACCCCAAATCAGATAAATGTATATACAAGACACTGGGTACCAAAATCAAAAACAGTGACAACAGGGATAAACAAAACAAAAAAAGGAAAAAGAAATAATTTCACACAGTACATTAAAAAAATATAAAAACAAACTCTTGTTTCCATATCTTGGGGGAGTTCATTTCAATTAGCATCATTTTACATTTACCCACAACATAAAGCCAATTGATTTTATGTTGAGAAAGCTATTCTTAGTAGAAATACACACACACACACACACACACACACACACACACACACACACTAATTAACTGCTGGGATTAAATTTGTGAAATTAACTCAAGTGTAAAGATTTTTCTTCCCAGGAAGTGGCGCTGTGGCTCAAGTGGTAGAGCTCTTGCCTTGAGCAGATTTGAGGGACAGTGCCCAGGCCCAGAGTTCAAGCCATGACTGACAAAAAAAGAAAAAAATAAAAATAAAAAGATTTTCTTTCCAACAAATATGATAAAAAAATTGAGATCTTTTCTTCAAATCTTCTTTTAATACAAAGCTCAAAAAGCAACACAAGAGAAGCAAATCTTGTAATAATTGAATAAATCATGTACGAAGAGAAAAAGTAACAAAAATATACATTGAAAAGAGCCTATAATAAAATAATTATTTTTAACTTATCATCTGCATACTAACACTTGTCATTTTGAGCCACAGTTACAGTTAGGATGAATTAACCACAGTATAAGCTAGATATAGCCTTCTTCTGTATGTCTTAGAAGAAATACTTCCCCTTGAATTCCATCACATTAACAAGACCATACTAATTGTTTTTTAATGATACATAATTAGTAGTATTGTAATGTATGAACAAATTCTTAACAGTAGTCTTACATTTCTTTAATAACATGCTCATTTCTACCTAAGGCATACAGGAGTTATAATAAGACACAAAATTAAAATAAGGTTATTAAATATGTCCTGATCATTTCCTTCAAGAAAATTTCAGCTGTACAACATCTAACCCCTGACAGACAAATTTTTATCAAAGATTTGTTGTCCATAAAAATGTCCCTAAAGCCATTTTTGTTTAGTAACATTTTGATGCCCACCTATATCCAAAAGTACAAAGGGAAATCTAAACCACAAAATATGTAGGAAGAAGAAAACATAATTGAGGCAGATAAACTAGAAAAAATGCAAAATAATTGATCATAAGTAGATACTAGAAAAAAACTGATTTTTTCCATGAGCAATTATCTACTTTTCAAATCTTATGAACATAAATATTCTTATTAGTATATTTTCATGATTCACAGAAGTTAGGAAAATTAGAGACAGAATTAGAGACAAAGATATGGGAATTTGTTTAGCAGCTGAATGTAGTATTACATTAAGCATTTTGTAAGCTCTTCAAATCTTCTCATTCCAATGTATTTTCCTACATGTAATTTTCTTTCCTTTAGTTTTTCAGTATGGATATGCATAGACTACTATAACATCTAAATGAAATAGAGAACATCTTGTTCAACAACAACAACAAAACAAACACCCAAGAAAATTCCTTCTGTATCACCAACTTATGACTTTCCATGGGATGTTAGACAACATCATTGAAAAAGCATTCAGTTTTCAAGAATCAAAAGATCCAGGGTTTCATTCTGTTTTCATAGCCAATTTACTCATTTCCCAAAATCGTTATTTAACCTATCCTTTTCTATGCCTCAATGTTGCAAATATTAATTGCAATGAATTCAAAATGCAATCCTGAACAAATGAATATAACTATGGTTATATATAGAATATAGATTATAAATTATATAGAGAGATTATAATTTATATAGGATATAGATTATAAAAAGAAGTGGTAGATATATTTAGCTCCAGAAAAAAACACAAATCAGGATTAAAAAGAATAAATTTTTTAAAAATCAATGATGAGTAATGTCGATTTTGTCAGTTAATTTGCAAGATTACTGAGTCAATCTCTCATTAAGTGTTTGTAAACTTAGTAGCAATGATCAAACTGAATGGCATGGACTTACTTCTGGAGCCTGAAGAGTTCCTCGCTACTGCAAAGGAGTTGGCACTCTGCCCGGCTGCTGCAGAAGACGGACAGGGTGAAAGCATCTCCAAAACAGACTCTGAAGATGTTGTCAGAGGGAAGGGTGATCAGCTACTACATGTCTTCTCAACACCTGGCTGAATGGCTACAGGGACACTTCAGAGGAGGCAAGCACAACAACAAAAATAAGGATTAAAAACTGCCTTTGGAGTATCTTGAAACATTATTTTTTACTGTCTGCTCAATCTCAAACCATATCAAGACTAAATAGAAACAAATATTTACCTGCATAAAAGCCTCTCCGGTGGAATAAGAAATAGGCTCTGGTTTCAAAGAATGTGTCAACATTCTGCTTTTAATTGTAAGGAGACGTTTTTTCTGTCTCAAAAGTGAATAAACTACTTAACTTTCTTTGTTACTTCATTTAACAAGTAGTATAATGTTAAAGCATTGCATAAATGAAAGCATATTTGATCACAAACAACTACATACTAGGCACACACATGACACTGAAGCTACAGCATTGAATGAGGCTGAGAAAGCCTGGCCTCCATGTAGCTTTGTCTAAAGTTTTGTTGCCTGTATAGTCTTCAATAAAGAAAGTCCATCTATTTCAACACATGTGGCTATAGTGAACATAGATATGAATGTCAGATTAATTAATCTTTTTAAAAATATTTTTATTGTGAAACTACCGTACAGAGGGGTTACAATTACACGAGCAAGGTAATGAGTACATTTCTTATCAAGTATTGTTGCCTCCTGTTTCCCCTTCCCATCACCCCCACCCCCACCACCCGCGCCAAAGTTGTAAAGTTCATTTTTCAACACAACGTCTTGTGCATCTCATTGTTGCAATGGGTCCACCTGTATCCATATTTAAACAATTTGCTTTTTCCCTTCCCCTCCACGAAGTTTACCAGTATCAAATACAGTGAAAACAGAGCTTATACCGTGGGGGAGGGACATATAGAAGCAACAAAGAAATCATCTTATAAATATGTTAAAAACAATCGCAAGAAAGAAAAAAAAAACATTTAAGTCCTTGGGGTTCATTTCACCTAACATTAACTTAATGAAATTTATATTAATTTGATATGTGAAGTTTCCTGATGTCCTCAATGTAGGTTCTATATCAAACTGAATAATCTTGTTCTATGAGACACTATTTAAATTTCTTTTCTCTACTTGTATCAACTGATATTCAACTACTAACATTTTAATCTTAAATACACTCAATTTTTTAAATGCTACTGAATCTCTAAAATGATTATAATATTACTCAAATTATGGAATTTCATCTGTGGAAGCCAAAACAAGTTATTTTCCCCAAAGCATAATGGTAAAATAAAATGATTCATTTCATTATTTCTATTGTTTCTATTTATAAATGTGTGTGAATGGTCAAATAAAAACTTCAGAAGGTGATTATATAATCCTAATATAGATATCCAATAGTTAAGAACTTTTTCATGAAAGTAAATTAACCTGTTTACATTGAAATTATCATAAATGCTGTGTCAAGCAGATACGAACAGTTGAAAGATGGTCAATTATAGTATATGAATTTCAATAAATATATCTATTAAAAGCTACATACATCATGCAAGATGCTTATTATAGAATTACAGAATATAGGTACATACATATGTACCTATGTAAATGAAGATCCTCAATTAGGGTTATCTCCCCTGTGAGTTGCCTTATCTATCATGATATAAATAAAGATTCCAGATAATCTATAGGATTCTTCCCTTGTTCAGATGGGTGTTCCCTAAAGGGTCCTATGTTAAAAGTGTGGCACCAGAGTGCCACACTTGAAAAATTGAAAAATGCTATGGACTCTTCAGACAAGCCCTTGTAGGAAATCCTTGGGTCAAGGGAAGTATGCCAGTGGACTCTGTGGACTCTCTGCCCCCAGTGCTTCTTGGCTTCAGTTACTCAGACTTCTCATTCCCAAATGCATTTCTGCATTCTCATGTAGTACTTTCACCAGAACTCCACACAATGGAGTTAGCCCCAAACCTTCAGAAGACTCTTATTCAGTTGTTTGGCTCAGGTGTTTTACTGTACTGAAACAAAACTGACTAGACTGATTCTATAGTAAAGTTCACATGACAATTTCAGATCTGTCATTTTCAACATCATCTGAAAAATATTTCTTTTTCTTCTTGATAGTCTGCTAAAATTAAATCTTTTAGAAGATGCTCTTGTCAACTTTTTAAATTTCAACCTGTTACTCTGACCATCTTCCAATCTTAGAAAATTGGCAATTGTTTTACACGTATCTACAAAGAAACATGGTTCTCAACCTAACAATTACATTGTTAAAAAGAACCCAGGGAACATGGGGAAAATATCCTAAGCTATTAGGAAACATCTCATTTGAAGTGTAAATCTGCTACTATTGTGTATATCTGCCACTATTAGCTCACGATGGTATTTTCCAACCCTCTATAATGTCTATATTTAGTGTTCATCAGTTCAATAAATATAGACTGCTAAGAAACTTAGTATTAGCAAAGGTAATTTTTAAATCACAAATTTACTTTGAAATTTACTTGAAACAAGTACTCACTTTCTCTTTAATTTCAAAAAGATTTAACTATTTTAAGATAAAACATATGCTAATGTGCTCTTCATGGCATGTAATAATTTTATTTCCCATGGATGGCCTTCTTAAGCTACTCTAAAGTTTTAGCCCATTGAAAACTAAAGAAATACTGGAAATGTTTGACAATGATAGTGGAATAATCTAAACTATTGTCTTCATTTTGAACATATACATCCTTTCAACAGTTACAAATCCTTCAACTTATTTTATTTATCTGTCATAAATAATGGCATGAAGGAAATTCTAATACATTAAACGTGAATGATGTTTACCTTTTCTGAAATGATTAAAACTTATGCATTCAGTTATCCAGATGTTTAATCTATATAATACAAAAATCTGCTCTTCTGAAATATGATTATATAGTCTACCTGCAATTCAATCAGTTATAATCATAGAATGATACACTGTTTAACATAATATAATCATTGTCTTCAGTGAACTACTCCAAAATTCAGATTGTAATACAAGTGTTATTTTATCAAGAGAAATAAGTTAAAATAATTTAAACTAGAAAAAATGACAAGAAAGGAGAACTTATGTCATATTAATTAGTTTCTGAAATCATCAATATTCAGCGCAGTCAATATAAACACTATCATTTAAACATGCAGAACTCACCAGTAGCACTGTTGAACTAAATATAGCAAATGCAAAAGTCTAATGTAAAATTTAAATTAGAAATACTCATTGAATATGGAAATTCATTTGTGTTACTGATAAATATAGCTACCATATAGGAGAATGTTTACAAATAGTAACACTCATACAGGATCACAGGACAAATACATTAATGCACTGTAGAGCATTTACTGCTTAATGTAAATGTCACATTGAAAAAGAGAACAACTAATCACTCCTTTCCTCTAATAGCAAAGTTCAGCAGTTAAATAACACATAAATCTTAGTGACCTAAAAATTTTATTACTGCATTTGTAATTTCCATTAACTCACAGAATGTAACTTCAAATGATGCTTCATTTCAGAAAGCTACAGGCCAACGTGGTTTAGATGGTGGGCCAAGATGATCAATCTGTATTGGTTTTAAGTGATTAATTTCATTATGGTAGTTTAAAATGATGCCTTTAATCACAAAAGGCATTAGTCATTGCACTAGTGAAAAAAAATATGTGACAATTTGATTTTAACTTTAGAAGTTCTGTTTACCAGACAGTAGTTGTAAATTCCTATAGGTAAGAAAAAATGCAAAATAAAGGTCACAAGACATGTGGAAATAATGAATGCTGGCAGGGGACAGGTGTCCTGGGGCTTGAACTCAGGCCTTGGCACTGTCTCTGAGCTTGTTTTCCTCGAAGCCAACACTTTACCACTTGAACCACAATTCCACTTCTAGCATTTTTGTATGTAATTAATTAGTGATAAAAAATCTCAATTTCAGGTTTTTGTTTCTTCAGTGTTTGGAGGAGGAGGGCATAGGGAATTAATTGGTGATAAGAGTCTCAAAGAATTTTGTGATGGGACTGACTTTAAACCATGATACTCAGATCTCACCCCCCAAATTAGCTAGGATTATAGATGTGAATGACCAGTATCCTGCTTGAAATATTTGTATTTACTTCACTAACGTTTATCAAATAAGATGCATTAAAAATCTGAAAGAGCAATAAAAATGGTTTTACATTGTGTAACTCCTTCAGAACTGAAATTTGCTTAGCTCAAATCTAAGCAAGTTCAGAAAAATTGAAATTATTCTCTGCATCCTGTCAGACTGCAACAGGATAAAATTAGAGCTTAACACCAAAAGCAATCACAGAAAATCCTCTAACTCATGGAGACTGAACAACACATTGTTGAATCACCAGTAGGTCAATGAAGAGATCGGAATGGAAATTCAAACATTAGTCGAATTTAATAAAAATGAACACACTAAATACCAGTTTCTCTGTGACACAATAAAGGCAATACTCAAGAGGAAATTTTACAGCTTTGAGTGCCTACATGAACAAATTGGAGAAATCTCAAACCAACAATTTAATGATATACCTTAAGGTCCTTGAAAGGAGGATCAAGCCAAACCTCAAACCTGTAGCCAGAAACAAATATTCAAATTTACATTGGAATAAATAAATTAGAGACTGAAAAAACTCATAGAAAGAATCAACAAAATATAGAGTTGGTTCTTTCAAAAAATTAACAAAATTGACAGACCTTTAACAAATCTGACCAAAAAAAGAAGACAATATACCCAAATAAATAAAATCAAAGATGAAAACCAAACTAAACCAAGAAGATTTAAATCAACTAAATAGACCCATAACAGACAATGAAATGGAAATGGCAATAAAGGACCTTCCATCCAAGAAAAGCCCAGGAATAGATGGATTCACAGGTGAATTCTATAAAACCTTCAAAGGAGAACTCAATCCCACATTCCTCGAGCTCTTCAATGAAATAGAAAGGGAAAGATCACTACCAACCTCATTCTATGAAGCCAGTGTTGAAAATGAGCTTTACATCTTCGATGGGAGAGAAGGAGGAGTTCGGGGGTGGGGAGAGAAGAGAAGGTAGGGGAAAAACAAAG